TTTATTATCCGATGTCGAATTGGTTTGGTAGTAGAAGAATATCTATATGATGTTGCTAGTCACGTCTGTTTAATTGGTGAATGTGTATTTTTGAGATTTTGTGTAAATTTGCCACTGTTTATTAAGCTGCCCGATTTCGTATATTTCTGATTTTCCCTGATTGATAGATTTGAATTGATATGTGCAGAATGACTATGATTAATGATCGTTTTAGATTTCTTTAATATTTATTATTTCATCGATTATTGCATTGACTATTGATTGATATTGATTTGAGCATCTGAAAGACAAGTGGAATCTAGTTGAACGTTGGTTATGAAACCAACGTATGGATTTCTACAGCACAGATCTGGATTTCTACAACAGAGCATCATTTGATAAAGCCAGTTAATCTGGTTGATGTCTTACAAGCAGCAACTAGTGAATAATAGCTCAAGTTATTCTGGGTTGATGTCTACACAGCATTATTTGGATAACTAGCAGTTAATCTGGTTGATGTCTACACCGCACTATTGATAATAGCTCGTTAATTGGTTGATGTCTAACACAGCACTATTGATAATGAGCTAGTGTTTGTGCTTTGTCGAGTAAGACCATGTGTATGTATTTGCATGTATACGATTTGCATGATGGATTTCCTGAATCTGCATTGATTTATTTGATCGTTGAATGGATTTATCGAATTGATTTCTTATATAACGGATCATTGACTTCATTGTTGCTCATGCGCATGTGATAACTATACTTGTATATGGACATAAACGGTAATGATTTATAGATTCATTGAGTATTATTGATTCGGCAATTTGATCTTTGATTGCTTCCATTGAGTTTATGTGATAAAGACAGATTAAGATTTATCCGATCGCTTTTCCGATTGTTGATCCGACTTCGCTTTTATCGACTGGATTTGATTGATTGATTGATTCGATGGATTTATTGGAATTTTTAATTGAATTTATTGTCTTGCTTTTTGCCGATTGTTTTATCACTTGATTTGATCATAGATACTGGCACCAACATGGATATGGAGTCTGTGTATGGATTTATAGATAGTGACGACTGCATATTGATATAGAGTGTATCGATTGGATAAAGATCCGATATATACATTAATTAGATATGATGTATGACTATATTGGATACTAATGATCGAAGATCCTGATACGGTGCTTATTGATATAGATCTGCTACATTGACTCGTCGGTGCCGTTCTCGATTGATTGATTGAAATGAAATATTGCCCGTATGGATTAATGGATTTGATTTATCGTAGAATAGATTTCTTTGATTTCTTTTGACCTGATGATTTCATCGTATTGATTTAATTTCAATTGATCTTTCGCCGTATTGATTAGATTGTTTATTGGGATTTGAGTCGATTGCTATAATTGACTGGAAAGTGCTTTATTGATTGAGATGATTCCCCTACTGTAGCATCGTACGTCGTCATTATTGAATCTATCGTAGTATCATTGAATATTGATTGCTAGTCTCGCGTACTGAATTAATTGATGCTATTAATTGATACAGACATCTTATTGATTGGACAAGTGATATGACATCTTATTGATTAGACAAGTGATATAGATTCAACGAATTGACTAGACGACGCGATAGAGATTGAGCTGATAGTATTGATTGATAGACACTACTACGATGGATAGATATTGGCTTCCAGTCACTTACTGATTTGATTGCAATTTATCGATGTTTTTACCGTTGTATTGATAATCGACTATTGATTTCCGTACGGCATTGACTTACTGATTTGATTTCTGCTGTATAGACTTGATTTCATTGACTCTGGATTCCGCATTGCATAGACTCATTGACCATTGATTGACTTGATTTTATCGACCTGCATATTGATAGCATCGCCGTGCTTTGATTTCAGTTGTAGGCTTTGGTGACCTGCTGGGCTTTGTAAGCTCATTATATGTGGTTAATATTTCAGGTGCAGGGCCTCCAGTCTGAAGATCTTTCTGTCGAGTTCAGCTTTTTGTTTTGTAGCCTTTGGTAGGCTTTCTTTTGTAGCCTGTGTGGCTAGTGTAGATATTTCTTTTGGACTCTTTTGTCTGTTCTCTGATTGTACTATATGTGAATTATAGTATCCGCTGCTGTTTCTTTTCTGTAATATAATTATCTCTGGCTCTGGATATATGTATGGATGGATAGATGAGGAAACCGATAGAAACTGAAAAAAAAAATGAATGATCGATCAGATGAATCTTTTCGCTACACGGATCTTGGGTTGTTATAGAATCTCCTTTTGAATTGATAAAAAAGATCAGAATCAGATTCCGTAATTGAGTGTCTCGTTACTCCTATTTTTGTAAATTTAATTTATGTAGTATTCTAACACATGTAAAAGGAATGCAAAGCAATCAGAATAAACCGGTCTTTCACGCCCGAACAAAATACATCGAGATTGACCACCATTTCATTCACCATTGTTGACCTACAAAGCAAATAATTTTTTTTTTTGGAATCACTGCATACCTGCCCGCTTTGCCCAAATCATGTGTAAATCTCATCACTATAGACGCCCCATACCACTGCGAACGGCGCCAACTTGTCACATCGATTGCGTGCAAAAATCCAACTCAACTGCCCTTTGTATCGTTAAAATGAGAGCAGAGCTCTCATTCTCGTGGCCTTTGATTCCTCTCATCCCATGTGAGCTTCACCCCATTCCCAATTTCTTGGATCAAGAGAGAGAGAGAGAGAGAGAGAGAGAGAGAGAGAGAGAGAGAGAGCATTTCAACTACCTATCGGCAATCTCCTCCTGTCATAGCCGATCGGACCTCTACTCCAATCTTCCGCCCCTTTCTTCTTCGCAAGACCCAACCGAAGCTCCCGTCGACCTTCATCCATCATCGAATCCCCTTTCCATTGAGCTTTTATTTGGTCTGGTGAACGTACACAACTCTACGTTCAGCCGCCAGTAGAATCGCGCCACGTGTTTTCATTATTTACCGCGCACCCCGACAACCCGACCCGGAACAGACCCAAGATTGCTCGATATTTCTCAGTATTGCTAGGTATTGGTCGATTTTGCTCGACAATAACCAATACCAAGCAATACCGAGCAAATACCTAGCAACACCGAGCAAATACCGAGTTGTACCGAGTTTTTTCTAGAAATACCTAGCAATACCGAGCAAATCCCTAGCAATATCGAGCAAATACTGAGTTGTACCGAGTTGTAGAAAAGCTCGGTACAACTCCGTATTTTCATAGTATTGGTCTTCACAGAGCGGTATTTCTCATTTTTGCAAAGCAATAGAGAGCAAATACCTAGCAAATACCGAGCAATACCGAGAAAATCGCGAACATAGCATTCCCGGGTTCCGGTCCAGGTCAAATCGTCGGGCCGCGCGGTAAAAAGTAATAGCACGTGGCGACATGTTATTGGTGGCTGAACGTAGCTCTACGTCCGGTCAGAGGACGTAATAATTGTTCTTTTTCATTCGAGCTTCTATTTGCAAACCCCAAATCTGTCCAAGCCTCCCTAACCGAGGTCTTTGTCCGATCCAGCCCAAGAAGCCGCCGACCATACCTATATATCAAGGACCAAGCTTTCTCACACACTGAAGCCTGTCACCCCCTTCTTCCAATCGGTCCACTGCCCTAGTCCCAATCAAATACCTCACTCAAACCCACTTATAATCTTTCTAAAGCCCACTAGTCCACTTATCCGAAACGATGGAGTAAACAAAACTAAAAAATCCGAGAGAGAGTAGAGGGTAAGAGAATCTCCACTAGTCATTAACATCAGAACGCATGATGACAATCATGTTGAGGAATTGTGCCTGCAAGTTTCCCTACGGTGTGCCCGAAAACACCATCCAAGAGGAAGAGAGAGGCGCCCCAAAGAAAAACAAAGGAACAACATAGGACAACCCAATAAATGAGATTTTCATGGTTGCATTTTTCTTTCAATACTTCCTAAGATCTACATGATCGCTTAGGGGTCTGGACAGCTGTTGAAAAAGAGCAAGGGAATTTCCCCACGTTGGGTACTTTAATTTTTATGCCCCTCGTGCTACCTATAGCGCTCCGGAGATTATCCGCATCGATCGCAAGCCGCCGCATCAGTTTTCCTCCCTACTATGCTACGTAGAGCGCGTAGGGGGTTTGCCGCTCGTCGCAAACTTCAAGAGGGGATTTTTAAGTTAGGAAAATTTTACCTTTGCACCCAACGCGGTGGTTGACGATGGCGAAGCGCAAAATACCCAAAACTCATCTCTTCTTTTTTTTTTATTTTCCTTTTTTTTTGAAACTTTGTTTTCTTTGTTTTTTTGCTTTCTTTTTCTTATTTTCCACAGTTGTTATGAGCTACAAAATGAGTAATAATAACTATATTACTAATAGATATTTTAATAATAATGGGGATAATAATAGAACATATAATAAGTAATAAATAATATTAGCATCACACACAACATTATAATGTCTAGCATAAGCCTAATAGAGAACATAACCTTAAATAAGGAATTACCTAGGGTTAAACTTGGTTTTGGATTTGAGAGTTGGGGTT